TGAGTATCTTCAGCCTTCACTACAACATAACTGCAGGCCAGTGTGGCTAGAGATTCTGTGTCAGCCTGTGAAACGTGTGGCACACCGTCTGCAATTCTCTGTCGCAGGCTGGCTCTGCATGTCTCCCACCTGGTCCCATCACTGAGCTGTCCAAGGTACTGAACTCTCTCCATCTCCGCTGACCTTCTCCCCTGCTCTGCCATTACCAGCAGCGTGCCGAGACTTGAGCAGCACTCTGAGGTGTTCATCGCTCAACTTACTCCTCCTGAAAACCCTAGCTGTGAATATTCTGCCCTTATGAGCGCTTTTTTTCTCTCTGCCTTTTGTTTCTTGGGACTTTCACATGACTTCAGTATGCAGGAAGGTGCTTTCCCCTCTAATTACAAAGCACTTCTGCCAATGACATTTTAATGAACTTTTATTCAGTGCAGATGTTCTTTTAGATGCCTTATTTTCTGTTTAGCTTTCCACAGCGTTCTCTTGATCTAAATCTCTACTTTGTTGCCTGGCTGCTTCCTAAAAACTAGCATTTTCTGCTGAGACAGCAGAAGCTGAAAAGGGTATAAAGTAAAATCCAAGAACAGAGCTTTTCTTGCCCTAATATCTTGGCTGCCGTACTGTGAAAAAGAGACTTGTAAATCACTGCTGAAAAGGGCTTGCTTCTGTGCCAGTCATATAGGTGGCTTTGACCCAACATCTCCATGAGTTTTCTCAGATGATTCTGAGATGTGACTTGTTTTTTTCCCCTTTTCTTCATTGTGTGAAAATGAGACTTTTCTGCTTTTCTTTTCATCCCTGGTCTGTGTCACCGACCACTTGGCAGTGGCAATCTTGTGTTATTTTCTGGTTGCTTTTTGTTGTTGTTGTTTGTTTGGGGGGGGGGTTTGTGTGAGTTTTTGTTGCCGTTGTTGTTGGATTGTTGGTTGGTTTTGTTGTTGTTCTTTGGATTTTTTTTGAATACACAGGATTTCACTGCCTTGTTAAAACTGCTTGTAGCTACTGTGACAAGGAGTGATGTCATCTAAAATGAATTCTGTGTTGGTTGCATTGTGGGTTTGGGCATGTTAAGGTAACCAGTCAATTGGGTGGTTCAAAAAATAGCCAATCCCCACTGCAAATGCTGACGAAACGTGCTGAAGGCTTTCCCTGGCAGATAACCTTTGCTGTCAATTGCAGGGGCACCAGGACCAAAAGGAAGTCAAGGAGTTCCTGGGTCACCTGGACCACCTGGACAGCCAGGCCCCCGGGGATCAATGGGACCCATGGGCCCATCTCCAGATATATCCCACATTAAACAGGGCAGACGGGGCCCCGTGGTCAGTATTCTCACCTCCTCTCATGCACTGTATGATTGAGCTTAGGCCTGCAACCAATCATATTCTTGTGAACACTTTCTTTTCTGTTGCAGGGCCCACCTGGAGCACCAGGGAGAGACGGTAGCAAGGTGAGAAGAGGCACAATGTACCTTATGAAGTGCAGGCTTGTTAGATACTCTTTATGCACTTGCAGTCTTTTACCATCTCATTTCCTTTGCTAAGCTGAAAATACTCTGTTGTCCTATCCCTTTGTGTCTTTCTCATGCAATTCTGTCCTTCCCACTCCTGAAGTCTTAAAAATAATAGCCCTGTCGGCCGTCAAGCAGCCTTTTTTCCTTTATCTGCAACTGTTTTGGCTTTTCGAAGAAGAAACATTTTTTCTCTAGCCCATTTCATTACACTGTTCTGTAATTTTCTCTGGTGATCAGGTTAGGTTGCTACCAGCCAGGATAAACATCAGAAGCATCCAACTCTGCTCCTGCTAGAGCGGGTGGAAATTTCCTGTGTTCTTTCTGGTGTGTTCCTGGTTCTTCTTGGTATACTTGTTCCCACTTCACGTTGTTTTATTTCTCTGAGCAAGCAAAGTTAACAAAGTGAGCTGATGATTCTTCATCTGTAGCCAGTAAGGGAGGCTGCATGGGTAAACTTTGATTTTTTGGCTTCCTTTGGTCACAGCAACTTAACTGAGGTGGTATTGATTACAGGGGGAGCGAGGTGCACCAGGACCAAAAGGGATACCTGTAAGTATCACTCACAGCGAGCGTTTCTACAGCAAAGTGATGCTGGCTACCAGCAGACCAGCCAAAAGGAAGATAAACTTCTCCTTTGTCAAAATTACAGTGAATTGTACTTTACATGCAGAGAAAAGGTCACTGGAAAGAAAGCAATTACCAGTTTTCTTCCAAGCCTGTTGCCTGCACACCTCCAACTTCACTGGATCCTACAGTGAAGGCAGTAAGCAGTGGGACATGTTAGCTGGCAAAGGCATGAGAATACATGCAGAGTGCTGGTTAGCACAGTTCAGCCAACACTCATGGGAATGTGAGCTCTGAAACATTTTAAAATCCTGCCTCTCATCTCTCTCTGGAACCTGGCAAGCTGTAGGCATTGAGCAAATCATCAAGAGAAGGATGGGGTGTATATAATCTGTTTTTAAGAGAAATTGAGTAAGATGTTGTTTGTCATGAAATGGATTTTTAGGAGTGTGCAGTAGAGCATCCTCAGTATTGAACAGTGTAGTCTACTGCATGAAGTCAGCTAAAAAGAAACGATATTCTGAAATTAGATAGAAACAGGTAGATACTGTCTACATCATAATTACCAATGAACATAGTAAGTACTAGACAACAGTGGGGATAATATACTGAAAACTATCTATCTTCCAAACATCAGCACTCCCCAAAGAATTTTTAATTAGGTAGTCTATCCATTTAATAAGAGGAACCAGTACTTCTATCCTCTTTTCCAGGCTCTGTCTGGAGAAAAAAACAAACAAAAAAATACCAACTTTGCTTTTTGAAAACCGTTTCCTGAGCAGGTGGGTTCAGAAAGGGACATTTAATTTCTGTCAGTAGATACGAAGCAGTATTATAGTGAATTACCCCTGCAAGGGTAATTATATCAACCCATTTGAAAACTTAAATACGATATGACCATGCCTTGTGACTGCAGGGCCCACCAGGTTCGTTTGACTTCCTATTGCTGATGATGGCAGACATCAGAAATGACATCGCAGAGCTGCAGGAGAGAGTGTTTGGACGGAGGACTCATTCATCAACAGAGGAGTTTCCATTACCTCAGGAATTTACAAACTATCATGACACAGTAGATTTTGGATCTGGAGAAGACTACAAATCACGGGCAGCACCCAGAGACTCCAGGATACAGAAGGCAGCCCATCCTTAGCTATGCCTACTGAAAAGTAGAGCCCCTCTAGAGATCTTTGTCACAAAAATGCACTGACAATGTAAAATATATATAGATTATTTCCCGTTCTTTCTCTTTGCTTTTCCCTAACCATGCTGCCTGTACTGTAGCTTTCCCAGTTCATGATGGCCTCCTTGCAGTAATTTTATACCTTCAAGCCTGCACTGTGCACTGTATGTAGTTTATCAGGAAAACCTTCTTAATGCGTAGGGCTAGCATGAATCAAGGCAAGAGCTAGCTAGTGGTGCAGACAACAGTATCTCATCTGCCTACCTGTGGTTCTGTGTCCAAATGACCCAGTACCAAATTTTTCAAGGGGTAGAGAGGTGAGAGAGGTAGCTGAACATCATCCCTGAAAGACATCAGTCATGAAAGTCTAGGTTCACATTTACTTTATACTTGTAAATGAGTTATTCCACTGAACACAAGTCTCCAGCTAGTGTCCCCAAGCTTAGGAGAGTGTGAAAGGTGGATCTCTCTTTCACAGCAGGGGCCAGGAGTCTCCTGTTATGCTTCACCATGACAGAAAAAGAAATTGAGATGAAGCAGTGATGCTCGTTGATCAAGAAATTATGTGGCTTGCAGTTGATAGAGAATTGTGCAAAAGCAGTCAAGAAGACATCTTTGCCTAAACTAACCATTCTTTCACTGCTTAGCGTGAAACCCAGTTCTCTTTCTCAGCAGGTTCATACTGAATACATTTTCACATAGATGAGCAAAAGAACAGGGATAAAGCAGGAAAAGCAAGCATATATCAATCAAGTTGGCTTATTGGCAAGCACAAATATCTCAACCTTGCAGAAAGTCAAGATTCTGACCTCCTGCAAGTGCTTGTCTTCCTTGGTGAAATGCTAACTCAATTTTATTTGATCCAAGTAAAACTGAGACCAGAGAGAGGCCTCGTTTGCAAAGAGCTTCCATCTGTTTTGTTCCTTTGCTGCATGAGAGCAACCTAAATGGCATTCACAGAACTGGAACACAAGAGTTGCAGTGTGTTTGGCTGGGTATATGAGGAGTGTGGGTAGGTGCAGGAGTGCACATGACGAAACATTTCACATGGTACAAGTACAGCTAAGGTGAGGCACTGCACATGGCATCCTGTATTTGTGAAGACGGATGAAAGGGAGTGCCCTTTTTTTACACTGGAAAATGGGATGCAGGAGTTAAGACCATACCTCACGGATGATGCATGTTAACTTTTTTATGGGGATTTTCTCAGCTGCTGAGGACTTTGCCATGCTTAGAAGATAAAGTAGTATATTAAGCACCAAACTTCAGTGTTGTATCTGCGTAGCTGCTACTTCCACAAGATGTTTAGTGCTGGGTCCTGTCCACATCACAAATGCATTTATTGTGCCATGTTTTCCATGGCTTGCAAGTTCTAGTAGAATAAATACTGGTAAAAACATAAGGAGGTCCTTTTCAAATAATCTGTAAAGTTTTGGATCCCCTTCCATATTCTCTTGGCCAAAAGACAGTTGGTGTAATCCCTACACCACCAAAACAGGTCATGTTGTATAAACAGCTGGCTGTCGAGACCTTCCATATCTTTTGTATATTATCTTAAGAGGATTTTCTTCATTCCTGTAATTGTTTCACAACTTTTCACTATCAGTATGCCACAAGCAAGAGCATTAGGTTAGAACATTAATGTTCTTTATTCCTCTTCACACTATACGCATATCAGTATTTACACAGCAATGACTAAGCCACTGGTCTAAGATAAGCTAAGGAAAAATGAGTGCACTCAGCCTCTGGTCTTTGGGCTTCTCTTCTGAAAGCACCTCACCCAGCAGCTGCAGATCCAAGTAATCTTATGAAGGAGGTAATGGGGATATCAGTGAGACGTGAGGAAGGAACTTCTGGCCAAAGAAAGGGTGTTCTTACATAAAGCAGACTGAAAGAAACTTCTGAATCAGCATTAATTGAGGCATGTATGTATTATTTTCTAAAATTCAAAGAGGCAACTGGGTACAAATTATGTAGTTCATGAATATGCAGTAAGTACAATTGTTAAATGTCTGACTATGTATTTGTAACTGTTGCAAATTATCTAACTCTTGCATATGTTCACCACCACCACCCATGAGCTTCTGGACCAGGTTGATTTCCACTACAGAATTAGAAGCTGCGATTGTTTGAACCACCAGATATTGAGCAATGAATTAAATGAGTTACTTCCTCCATGCTGACTAAATTCTATTGCCCACTGCACACAAAAAGGCACTTATTTGAGTTCTCAGCTCTGCTTTTCTGAATATATACAAATAGCATTTCCTACAGTCTGACAACTGAATTCAGGGGAATGCAGTAATTGCCCTGCCTTGCATAAGTATTCAGGGAAGAGAAATTCTGATACTACACCAGAAAAAAAAGGTAAAATACATGCCTTGTTGTAAGTGCAGAAGCTGTCCCACAAACTTGAGAGCATAAATAGGGCACATTTTTACATGCCTTTCTCAATAACTTCTCTTTCTGTAGTCAGCATCATGGTTTTTTTCACAGTCCAGAGCTGTTTCTTTCCAGCATACATGCTTTCTCCATAAAAATGGTGAAGGAAAGAGCAACTTGGGTTTGTCACAGAATCACTACACTTGTCCTTGTGCCTCACCTTCTTTCCACAGACTCCTTGCCCCAAAGTGCTGTTGGCTGAGTCCCAGCAGCAAGGAGAAGATGCTGTGGTAAGGACACATTCACTCCACAGGACAGAGGAATGCCTCTAGCAGGGAGAGCTCCTCTGAATAAAGCTGGCTGGGAAGGATCAGCCTTGTGTCTGAGAACCTCTGTGCACAACTTTATCATTTTATTTCTCATTAACTGTATGATAACTTGCATAACACATTGTATCAGAACCATTTCACTACAGTTCCTAGAGAAACACATGCAGAAGCTCACAAAAATGAAGCTTTCTTAAGCACACCCAAACTTTTATAGACACAGATCAGAAGAGACATCTCCAGTTTTAAGCAGTTACTAGAGAGAAGAAAGCCATCAGCTTATAAATTATTTATTTCTCTATAGCTCCAAAAGTAATAACCCAAGAAGAATGCAGTAACATCTATAATCATGTCCAGTTTCGTTACTAGGCTCACGCACGTGACAACTTTGTTTCGTATAAATACTATGTATAGTTTTATTAGAAAGAAATATTATTTTGATGTTAAGACATCAAGTTATAAGCAGAAGGATAATAAAGAGGTTGTTATTTTATTAACATTGGAAATATATTTAATGGAAACATTTGCAAGAGTGTGTAGTGATGGGGAAATACTGACTGTTAAAAGGTTTAACAAAAACATAAACCTCCCAGGGACATACGGGATTAGTCTTCCTTGCAAAACTAGAATACTGACACATAACAATTCTTACATGGTGAGGTTAAACCAGAAAAAGGAGAGGAAAATTGAATGTGTACAGAATTATGACAATCCCTGGAGTTATTTTTGGTCCTGGTTTGAATAACATTTTTCTCACAAGTATTTCAGAGTTAACATGTTTAGCCCCAGAGAAGCAACAAAAGATGGGGTCCAAAAATTTGTTAATTTCACTTAAGATCGATATGTTTGTTCCTATTACGCATTCCAGTAACTATACTGTTCACTTTATTTATATACAAAATACTAAAATGTGTATAAAATGATTGTGATTTTATGATGTATTCGTAATAACAAAGATATTTTTTCTTACACTGTCGGTAGTTGCTTTTGTTCCATGTAGTTTTGCTTGCACCTGCGGCGGTGACTGGGAGAAACAAGGAGGACGCTTCCAGACGCTGCCTTTTAGCATCCCGCTTGGAGCTAGGCGATACGCACAGCCACGACCGCGGCTGTGGGGGTACGGCGTTCCGTGCTCGTGGCCGTGAGGCACAGACCGACCTCGGTACCGCCGCGGCCTCACGAGCGCTGGCTTGGTGGTCTTACCCGCGCTGTCGGCACGCGCAGCTTACAGCTATAGAATCGTTCAGACCTCTAAGAGCTTCTCACCCAATCCAGCCCGCCACGCCCACTGTGTCCCTCAGCGCCACATCCCCGCGCTTCCCAAACACGTCTGGGGATGCTGCCTGCACCACCTCCCATGCTCAGCGCGCCGCCACCGCGTGCCGAGCCCCACGCTGAGACTACACCTCCCGGCATGCAGCGCGCCCTCGTGGGACGGCTGCGTCGCGCCGTCGCGCCTGTGACGTCACTGACGCGCGACGATTTCCCTCCCCTCTCCCCCCCCTTCCTGTTGGCGAGGCGGCGGCGGGATGCGGCTGTCGCTGGTAGCCGCGATCTCGCACGGGCGCGTGTACCGGCGGCTGGGACACGGCCCGCGCTCGCGCCTCGACCTGCTGCGCAACCTGGTGACGGCGCTGGTGCGGCACGAGCGCATCGAGGCGCCGTGGGCGCGCGCCGACGAGATGCGAGGCTACGCGGAGCGGGTGAGCGGCGGGGCCGGGCCGCGGCGGGCGGGAGCGCCGGCTGAGGGGCGCTGACGGCCGTGCCCCGCTTTTTCCCCGCAGCTCATCGACTACGCCAAGCGCGGGGACGCGGACGAGCGCGCCATGCGCATGGCGGATTTCTGGCTGACGGTAGGTAGCGCCTGGCCCCTCACCGCCCCCGTCCCGCGGGCCCGGGGCTGAGCGTGCCGTTCCGCAGGAGAAGGATCTCGTCCACAAGCTGTTCAAAGTGCTGGCGCCCCGCTTCCAGCCTCACCCCGGCAGCTACACCCGCATGCTGCACATCCCCAACCGTGACTGCCTGGACCGTGCCAAGATGGCTGTGATCGAGCTGAAGGGGAACCCCTACCCACCGCTCATCCGCCCGCGTCGTGACAGCGATAAGACGCTGCTCAACCAGCTGCTGAAGGGCTGCCGGGAGGACGCCCAGCGGGATGCAGGCCGCTGAGGGCATCGTGCAGGCATCCTGCTCTGCCCCCAGCGTGTCCCATGTGGGCAGCAGGATGGGGCCTGGGGTGAGCTGCCTGTGCACCAGGCAGTGAGCTCGCATCCCAGGGCAGGACACCTGCTCTCCTGGAGCACAGGGGTGGAAGGGTCCGGGGAGGGCTCAGGACACCTTCCTAGCCTTAAGTGATCATAACAGGGCACAAGCTCAAGGTTTACCTTCGTGCTCCTGTGATTTACTAGCAACTTCACAAGAGAAGGAAATCAAGCTGTGAGCCCTACTGGTTGATGTCCTCTGTGTAAATAAACTACTTTGAAAAGTGAGTTTGCTTCTGTTTGGATTATGTTATTGTGTGCAAGAGTTAATCATTTATTCCAGCCAGTTTCTGATCCTGTACTCTGCAGCCCTGTACTCTGGGATAATGTCTCCACGTAACTTCATATTCTTTAGAAGCCACTGTGCAGACTTTCAGCACTGGAAATTCAGAGAAGAATCGAGTTAGCTTCAGTGTTTCAGCATTGCTGACTACAAACAAGGACAGTAGTACTGAAGTTCATAAAAGCAGCAGTACTATAGCAAATTGTATTACTAGGAGGCAATGTGGCCAGAACTAAGTTGTCGTTGAACTTGGTAGACAGCCTCAAGTGTAGAGTTGTAGGAAACCTCTTTATTGTGCTCTTAAAACAAAGGGATAGTGGCAGAACTTTTACAGGCAATAATGTAACAACTCAGAGGTACGAAACTTGAAATTGCTAACTTTGCCCCTGATTTGTTCAGTCCTAGCTGTAGCTTCTGAGTTGGGGAAGAGATATAGAGACATTGTGTTCCTTTCTCCCTCTAAGTGTCTACAAGCTAAGACTACTCAATAATCTTAGATAGTGAAGTGTTAGCTGAAACGTGTTAACTCACATGAAAGAGCTTACAATTCAGTCATGCTTTCTCCCACAGACTCACTTCTGTTTTAATGAAATCCAATGAGAAATTTAAAATGTGTGAGATATCGTGTAAGGAAAGGCAAAGTGAATGTTGCAGAGACCTTAATCTGTTTGAAGGTGGGGTTAGGTTAGGTCATCACCTGCAGGGTGTGCAATTCTAAGGTCATTAGAAATAAGAAATTGCATGCCTTGCACTAGATGGCCTAACGTAATCTACAGGTATTTTCTCCATAACTGAAGAAATGAACCAACTGTTGTTGCTGTGTAGCTTCCCCATATTAAAAGTTAATGTTGAGGCTTTAATTCAAGAATAGCCTACTGCAGCCATAACTTGGTCTTGTGCCCCAGCAAACTGAACTGTAGCACAACCTCTGCAATCTAATGCCCCAGAATGCTGATTCTATCCCTCCGCAGATTCCCACCATGCTTCAGGAGCAGAATTACTGCCCAGTTTTTTCACTGCTGTTTCAACTGTATCATTTCTTAGGACTCAGATCAGAAATGCGAGCCATGTTTCCTAAGTGTGACTCTGTTGCCTATCAGTTCATCTCAGTTATCTCAGCAGATCAATTTTTGTTGATTTGATGAGAGGTAGGCATTGTTTTCCCTTATCTGCCTACTTGTCACTTTCTCAGAGGAGGAAGGGTAAACTACTCAAAACACTTTGGTAAAAAACAGAAGGGTACGAATGATGAAAAATCAATGTCAGGGGAGGAACACTGTGGCCCCTTGGCACTAGCTGAAAAGCCTGTGTTATGTCTACATTACTAGTAGCCAAAACATCCATTTTATTCGAAGAATTTATAAGCCAGAAGTAAGAGAAGGCAGACGCTCAAATGTGCCAGTGGTGATCTGGGTAAAAAATATTTAATGAGGGCAAGCAAGTGAAGGTTTCTTCTAGTGGGACTTAGATTTAATAATCTCAAGAGAAAAGGGGTAAAAAAGCTAGAAGATACTAAGGGAAGTTGGGGGAAAGTCTTTTTAATTACAAATTGATTGTGCATACCCTTTTTTTGCCACAGGTGTTTAAGAGAGCTGACAATGCATTCCTAATCTCACAAGCTCAGCATTCCTCTAAACACAACTCTCCTACTGTACGTCCCTGAATGTTTCCTGAATTTATGCTGGCTTCTCTCAAGAGGCAGTCATCCTGCTAGGCTGTCTTGTACTCAGATGGGTCAGGCTTTCAGCTGCCTGTGGAGGAAAATGAAGGGAAAGTCCACTGTTAATTTAAGTCTATTCTTTTTACTCTCTTGCGTTCTGGCTGTCAGTCAGATTTTCTCTATCAGACTTACAATAGATATATAATAGATTCAAATACACATGTCCATGTGATTGTCAGTATAATTCTTCTGTCCCCAGCCCTCTGGAAGATAAAGGCCTACCTGACCGCAGTTGTAAGACTCTGGTGCCAGTCATTAATATCTTGCTGGTCAGTGGACATCAACAACAGTGTCTTGTGTGGGAAGGAGAGCTGAAAGACAGATGGAAGAGATTCAGTCCTGCATGTTGATTTCTGCCATTTTTTTTCCCAGAAAGCTAGAAACGTTTTGCATTGGGACACAGGCTGGAAAGAACACAGCATGTGCCAGACTTCTAGCTACAGATGTCAGCTTGCTTCGACTTAACAGTGTTTGGAAGTCAGCAGTGCCAATCTGTATCTGCTGGTCTTTCAGTTTTCTCTATTATTTCAAGCTGCCTCTAGAGGTCCTTCTACTACCACCAACTACAAACACACAATTTGACAAAGAATTTATAGCTTACACTCAAACAATGAGTCAACAAAGCCTCCCAGGTGCTGCAGTCTAGAAAAACCTGAATTTAAAACCCTCACCTGAGGCATTACTCCCAGTCAGAGCCTGTGCAGTCCTCAAAGAGTTGTAGGCACAAGCAGTACCCACTGTGATTGTTCCATCCTGTTTTTCCATCCTATTTCTGCATTCTCTATTTTTTAGCATTCTCTCTGAACTAATTCCACATCACTGTAATGCTGCATACTGCTTGTCATGAGGCTGTGGGCTCATGACACGAGCATGTGCTCAGTTGAGGGCATGCCAGAGTGTGATCAGACTCTCCTCAGCTGACCTATGTGGAACAAGCAGGAGCCTGTATTCCAGTGCTCAGCAGGGCCCAACGATGAAGGGAAAAAGACAGCCTGCCCAAAAGAGAAGAGCTGCCCTAACTCAAACTAGTTCCTTGCATTTACCATTGTCACCACTTACCCCTCAGCCATGCTGAGACAGTTAGAGACTTGATTTGCAATCTGACCCACTGATACTTCTGCCAAGCAGAAGCAGGAAGACTTACACTGAGCAGCCCTCCCTCACTCTGAGTGTGGCCAAATACTTTATCCACTACACACTGGTGAAGGGGATAGACAGCTGTGCAGGCAAATTTATTGGAGTTCAGCAGATGCAGTGGGTGGCAGGGCTTTGCTGAAATGAAGATATCAGAAAAAAGGAAGAACATCCTGCGCTTCAATTCTTCACCCTTTGAGGGCACAACCAAAAGCCAGCCTTCCCGGATATACCAGCGCCCTGGGCATTCAAGAAAAAATAAAGACAGTTGTCAGACAATCACCGGCACGAGGAAGGATTTACCATTACAAAAGAGAATACCGCGAGCTGCCGCGTAAACCACCAGGCTCTGCACCAACCCCAGCCACTAGAAGGCACCTGTGCGTCAACACGTCTTAATTCAGATCCCACGTGCTGTCTTAAACTGGGTCACTCAATTGTTCGTCGTTAACAGCAAAACAGAAGTCAGCCTAAAGTCTGAATATTTATTATATTTCCCCTGTTTTTTCCTGCTTGTGTGTGCTGATAAAAAACATTTCACAGGTCACCTAAATATATACAAACCTGTACAAGTTAACAAATCACATAGTGGAGATTGCTGCCGTAATGAAAGACAGCAAAGGGATACAAAAATAAGATGCTAAAGAGGGCTTCAATAGGCACTTTTATTAGACTATAGACAGGATCCACTGTACTCTACCCACAGAATGAACAGTAATAATTAAAAAGGTAGAGAAATCAGCTGGAAAAAAGTAATTGAAAAGCCCAGAGGTAGGCAATAATTAAAAACAAAAACAAAAAAAAAAAAAAAGGACATACACAAAATGGAATAATTAAAGCTATGCTTCTAAACTTTATTGTACTCAGCATTATTGTAGACAACAGCCATTAACTCTTAGTGAAAACACCTGCCAGAAAGAAGATTATTTATAACAATCCAAAGCCTTAATATGATATCACCACCTGTCCTGGTCTGAGAAACAGCTGCCAGAGAATTTCAGACACTGTTTTTTGTGCTCTTGCTTCTGGCTGTGCTTGCACTTTTTTAGAGAACAGCACTGTGTCAAGTATGGACCATGTGCCTTAGTATACTACACGTACAACATAGAGACAAGTGAGCTGCTGCTTAGCTCAGTCTACAGAAATGGTGTCTCCTGCCAGAACAGGAAACTGAAGAACAGAACGGAGAGGCAGGGATCAGTTCAAGTTTAAAAAACAAATGGAAAGAAGGTGTTGGTGTGGGGCTGGGCATCATTTCCCTGATGCTATGCTGTGATCAGGCTCAATAACATATAGACTGAGCTGGACTATGCGGGAATGGATAGGGATGCATTTTCAGTATTCCACGTCGGCATGTGGAAATTCTTGTGAATGAAGTCTAGGGAAACACCCCTAGGGAAGCTAGAGATGACAAGAACAGCGTTTTATGTCAAGGAGACAGTTTTAGCTGAGATGGTGTTTGCTCTACATACTAAAGGCAGCAAGAAAAGCAGGGTCTCTTTGCATTGTGAGCAATATTGGTATTGTCAGAGACAACACCAGTAGTGAGAAACTTAACTTCAAAACCACTTTTCCTTGAATCCACAAACATTACGTTTTCTGACCTTTTTCTCCCTAATAATAGGATGCAATCCTTAAAAAAAAAAAAAGCTAGCTAGTTGCTGGACAAACAATGTTGTCAAGCTTGCATAGAACCAGTAATACTCTGCAGCCTCTGACTTTCTTGTTTACCACATCTCACAAGACCTGGTTTACTCCAGCTAATGGAAAGCCTTACAATCATAATTCTCTGTCCAAGACAATGGAAATAGAGTCTATCTATAGACTCTCAAAACTTGTCCTAATACAGCTCTCAAAATATGAGGAGCCAAAAAAAAAAAAAAAAGCGGTCCTTGGGCTTTCAAATGGTAGCCACCTCTGGTCCAGATACACCAGTTTTTTTGCTTTCCTTTTTTTTTTTTCTTTTTGCCTTCCACTCACAGCCACTTTTTTAACTCTGTCACTTTAGATAGCTTTTTTGCCTTTTTTCACAGACACTGTCCAAATGAGTCCAGGCACCTCCACCTATGCTGAATGCTTAGTATCAGCAGAGCACACCTGTGTTAGCTCCCTTCCAGCCACCATCACCAAAAGGACTGTAAGCAGAATGGGAAAGAGAAATGTAAATTGATCTGCATGTTGACTGTGCATACTAGAGAATGATAACTTGTGATTAGCAAATCATTTTTTCTACTTTCACCATAATCCCTATGTACAAAGAAAAAAAAGTACCATCACAGTCACAGATGTGGGGGGTGCATCTTAGAGATCTTTAACTTTGCAGCTGCTGCAGTGTTTCTAGGTGACCTCTGCAACAGCAAACTTTAGTGAAGCTGTGCAGGCATGGATGAAGCCCCTGGTGGTCGACTCATATTTGTCCAAACTGGACATACTTCTCACAGTGTTCCATGTGTACCTTGGAGCATGTTCTGGGCATGGAGAGCAGTCGGTCAAACCACAGATCCTAAAAAATCTTATTATCCAACTAGATGATCTTACATGCCAGTTACTGTGATTTTATGTATCTCAGCTATTAGTACAGATACTCTGATTTCTGACAGAGTCTAACCTTGCAGCTAAAAGGTGTTTCTTTTCATGTATAAGGTGTGAGCAGAAGTTTATGAAATTCTTCTCCAAAATAATTCAGTTTCTTTCTCTCGTTCTCACCCAGGACTTGTATTCCAGACCTCCCTGGGTTTCTGTGAACTAAGTTTCTGAATGCGTATCATCAGCTCCTTTTATCTGAACATCAGACATCTAATATGCTGCTTATCTTTACTTAAAAATTAAAAAGGTGCCTAAATTCCTTACTAATTACATTATTTTACTACCTGTGAAATTCAGATCAGAAGGGGAACTCTGACTGACATGAGTAGGGTTAGAGATGAAGGCAAGCATACCCCCAGTTGTCTCAGCTTGGCAGAAGGAAAACAGCCGTCTGTAGGACCTACCTGGAGTCAACACCTGGATCTTCTGTCCTTTGAGGAGTTTCTGAATCCTGTGTAGCTGCAGTGAGTTCTCTCTCTTACGAACAACGTCCTGAACCCATTGAGATACCTCAGAAACAGATTTCACAGTCCCTGAAATTATAGCAGCATATTTTCAGGTTATCACAAATGAGTATGTGTACTACCTTGCTGTGAAAACATAAGGTGAAATTAAGAAGCAAATGTTTTAAACCAAGTATCCATAACAAATTTATTTCTTAATTTCAAAGAGAGATTACACTAGAAGCCATCAGAAGACTCCTTCCAAACAACATTTTTGTGATTCTGGAAAATATTTATTTGCCAGTGAAATACTATCCAAACGGGTTTAGAAGCAAGAAACAAGAAACAAATGCCCCACTGTAGATGACGCTGGCTGCAGGAGAACGTCACATTAATTATCCTAGAAAACTGAGGTATGTGACAAATAGAACAGACATTTTTCCACTCTAACCCCACACCAGTTTCCCAGTAGGTCAGTCTACATTGCAATTCCTCACTCTTTCTCAGGAAGAGGGGTCAATCAAAATGGTGATGGAAAATAGTAATGCACTGGAAACCCAAGATTTTTCTTGGGGAAAAAGACAAAAAACTGGACTCAAAATGTTAGCAAGGAAGCTAAGACTGATAAAAATGCTAGTATTTATTGTGGCAATCAAAGCAGCAATGTTTACAGATGGTATCATACTTGCAAGTTTCTGGCATTCAGCACTGCCTGGGCTGGTGTTCTCCAGCAGGTCTCTGAGGAAATGCTTGTACCTAAGACAGAAGAAGCTTTATTGCACAACACCAGGAACAGAAATATCACCTTTATTACCAAAATCATTAGCAGTGTGCCATCAGCACACAGAGTACACTCTAGGTCTAACCAGGCAGCTTTGGGTCATATTTCATTGTTCACACTCATTTTATCTTCAGATGCATCAGCTGCAGTACCCTATATTTTTTATACATTTGCAAGCCTTTGGAATTTCCTGGGGAGCTGGTAAGAACAATTTCACTTACTATTGCATGACACACGGAGACAACTTCAAGATTCATATGAATGCCTTAAATTACAGACATTTTGCTTTGAACAACTTTGTTGTTGTTGTTGTTGTTTCTTTTTTATGTTTGAATGGAAGCATTCCTGCCATATATTGTCTATTTACAAAGAAAATAAAGGCATTCCTGTCCAGTCTTAAACTAAACTAAAAAGAATCAGATCTCTGCAACTAGCTTCTCCCAATAAAATCAAACTATCTTCAGTCTGAAATGACAGAACATATACAATATTGAACAGATTCATGAAATGGTAGAAGTCATCTCACCTGCAGTATATGTAACTGAAAAGTGAATATGAAAGAGCTGATTAATGAAAATATTAGACCTTCTGTTAAAAAGGCATAATTTCTCCAAGAAATATACTGTTGTCTTACAAATTCAAAGGAATGACCCAAAGAATTACAGTAAAAAAGAAAGCTTGCATTTACTAAGTAGATTAAAAATGTTGTATAACGCTACCTGAAAGACCATGGTATGCTCAACCCTGTATTTTCAAAGAAACAAGGCTCTGATCTCTTAAATGAACCATAGTATGGATAAGACCGTGGCTAAAGAGCAGCTTGTCCTACAGCAGCTGGGGACGGGACCCCAGAGCCCTACTTAGGTCTGTACTACCCTCACACTCCTCTCCAAAACAGGCAGCCACTGAGTGCATGCAGCACTCTCCTCATGCACTCAGCCTGCCCCTCAAAGGATGCCTCAAGGAGAGGGCAGCAATCCAGATGGGATCTGTCTGTCTCAGGCAACCGTGGCAGGCACCCAATACAAGAGAAGCAAATACAAAGAAAACGTGGTCCTGATAACCAGACAGAGGAGAAAAGCACCCTTGATTTCATCTCATCTCTCTCCAAGAGCAGCCATTTACAAGAAGGGAGTCATGCTCCAGATCAGCAACCTGCACAAAAGCAGAGCACAGCAATCTCTAGCTAGGAGCAGCACTTCTGTGGTGTTTCAGACAGCTTGCTTTTGTTGAGGGCCTACCTTCAGCCACCTACTGAGATGACTTTGATTCTACCTGAGAGCTTAATAAAGAGCTTAAGAGCCAGGGCTAAACAAAGCAATCTCTGCATCAGTCACCATCCAGACACACTGATTCTGCTTTACAGGTACATCCTGAAGACCATTTCACTGCAGTCTACATGTTCCAATTTGGAGACACATAACATTACTATTAGCAAGACACTATATGTGTATGTTTGCTTTCTCATACTAACACCTTGAGGACTCAGAACTGCTTACTTACTGGTGCAACCTCTGCAGAGGCAAAGGAAGCAAATCCTCTAGCTTTTTCCCTTGAAACTGAGGTCGAGTTTCTTGGAGCTTCTTAAAACGTCGGAATGATTTATTTTTCCTCAATTGTTCCTGCATGCAGCAGAGAAGATACATTATTTTGAGACTACAAAAGAAATATGCATGCTGGTTTGCACCAGCGCTTAGAAAACAGAACGTCAGTACTAAATGCAAGCATCAGCAGCTTATTTTGTGGCCATGGACAAGCCATTTCCTTTCTTCTGACCACTATCTCCCAGTGAGTAGTTTCAATTATATCCCCTCTACATATATGCACAGCAATACTAAGCCAGCATTCTGGTTCCAGCAGACACAGAGTTAACCTTTTCTTTACAGCATTTGGTATGATGATGTGTTCTGGCTATGTTGATAACACATGATGTTTAGTTGTTGCTGAGCAGCACTGCACAAAGCCAAGGACGTTTCGACTTCTTGTACTGTCCTGCCAGCAGAGGGGCTGAGAAGGGACAGAACCAGGACAGCTTAAGCAGGCCATAGGAATATTCCATACCACAAGGAATCATGTAAAAAGACTATAAAACTGAAGGGTGTTGGCTGTGGGGCAGGCACTGCTGAAAGACCAGCTGGGCACTGGTAGTGAGCAACTGCCTTGTGCATCCTTCGTTTTGTGTGTGTATAAATATATACATTAACACACACATAAACAAATACAGAATTGTTACTAGCACTGCTGGGTTGAGATAAAAACTACAAGTATTTTGTATTTGTTTCTTTCCTGATTCTCTCCACCACCACTCTAGGAGGGGAAGAGTGAGCAAAGAACAGGTGCTGAGCTGCTGTGGGGTTAAGCCACAAGTTAGTATTACCACCTGTAGCTTTTTGCCATTCATTTCAAGACAATGCAATGCAACCCCTCATTCCTATCATGTCAAGGCAGTTACCCAAAATGAAACGTATGATTATATGTGAGCAAGCAGAAAAGAACAGAAATCCTAGTACATTCTGCAGCTAGCAATAAACATTGACAAGAACCGAGGTCAGGCGGTTTAAATTCCAAATACGGCTTTCAGGACTTAGAAATAAAAACACATTTATGTGAAATATCTCAGAAGACAGACTGTATGTGGGAAGCTAAGCAGGAATTTTCCTTTACTGCAGAAAAGAAAAATGGGGAGGAGAAAGGAAATCCCACCACTAGGATACACTTAGTAGCAGTGGAGGAGATTGAGAGACCTGATAACTGGCTGGAAAAATACCACTGTCCCCTATTGTTTACACTAAACACACTCCAGGCTTGCAAGCCAAGGATTGGAAATGAAAACGTTACTCTGTTAGAGAAAGCTCAGTATGTGCACACACACAGGTACCAAAACACCTGAAACATACTTTAAAAAAACTGAAGCTCTAAATAAAGGGAACAGTTTTTACCACTCTATTATGACAGAAGGACAGAAAACAGACCAGAAAAAGGAGGAAAACCAAGCATTCAAGAATCAGAAGCAAAAGCAAAATAATGCTTCAAAGAATGGAGAGGAGGGAAAAGGCAACAGGAAGAGTAAAGGTAATACATACCATCAAAGTTTTATTTGCCTGTTCAAAATTCTCAGCATAGTGACCATAGAGCTCCAATTTCTGACAGAAATTTTCCAATCCTACTCCTAAATTGCCTCTCTCCAGGTGAAGCGACAAAACTCTGTGCACAAGGAGGAAAGACAATTAGGCAAGAGTACATTTCTGATACCATTTCCCCAGCTCCTTCTGGTTCACTCCTATGCTTACTTTCATTTGCCAGCCTCCATCTCACATTCAGTTTCTATCCAGAATGTGTGCTTGGTGGTCACAGAACAAGCTGCAGAAAACAACCCATAAAAATACTACAGAGTAGACTTACTGGGTTTAAACTACTATCCAGAAAACAATCGTAGAACAGAAGGGACCTTAAAGATCACCTAGTTCCAGGTGACTCCCCCACCTCTCTGGACAGCCTGTTCCAGTGCTCCATCACACTCACAGTGAAGCTTTTCCCCCAGTAAGAGTTTGTTCACTTACTGGCTGGCAGAATATATGGATTCCAGGGGTCCAAATATGGTTTCCATTACAGCAGGTTTCAGTGTCCCTTTGGCCTTTAAAATTGTCACAAAGAACTAAACAGGAAAGAATTAAAAATCACAGGTAATTCAGAGATCATTCTTAGCACTGAGCGGAGGCAAGAAGTTGCAGCCTGAACACTCAAGCTCAGAAGGACAGCAGGTATCATGAGCACCTATCTAAAATATCTATTACTATACGTAAGTGTTTTTGGTAACTTTGACCATAGCTGTAAACATGTGACTGAGTCTATTTCAGTATTCCGAGATGCATCTGTTTTTAACCACCTACTTCTTAATCTACCTCTGTGTCCTCTATGCCCCCATGTTTTATGTCTCAAGAATCTTAAACCAGGTCCCCTGTACAATCAAAACTTATGGCTGGATACGGACCAAAGCCAAAAGGCCAAAAGCACAAGCAATCAGATGCATAACAGGAGGTAAAAGACAGAAGAAAAAAAATAGCTTTCAGGCTCAGCAACATAAAGAGCTGTAATTTGTCACATGTTGCATAGATGCATCAAATTCATGTTCTGTGACCTCATGATGCCAGAAAAAAACATATGCTTCCTGAGGGCAGCCATGTATCACAAGGGCCCATATACACACCGTTACCACCAAATCCAGCTGCTCAAGGTATCTGTGCTCCGTTTCCAGCAGCTCCTTGGCTGTGCGGCTGCGCTTTCTCTCCCAGCGAGCCCTCTGCTCTTCCACTGTGTTTGCTCCAGCCACTGGTGGAAGGGGTGAGTAGCTCATGGTAGCCTCAGAGCTGATAAACAGAAAGGTAACCGCTACTGAGAGCCAGGAGAGGTTGACACACAACAAACGCACAACGTGGGCCAAAGGGTACAATTCTAAGATACAAATTCCACTGTTTCTGTGGAAGACAGGAAGTCAGCTAACATTCAACAACAGTTTCCTCAGTTTCCTTCTGCATTCTTTCTTGTGAAGCCTTGCGTCAACCAGAGGAAAGGTGACAGTAAGACCAGACTGTAAAAGCAAGAGAAGCAGTACGTCACGATGCATCCGTAAGCAAAACTTAAGCATGCAATCCCACCTGCTTTCATAGCCCACTATTGCTGCTTCCTTTAAGCCATCCTTCATGTAGGATTCTCACTCAAGTCACAGACACAAACACAGACAGCTCACCTGCACGTTGAAGGGCTACAGCATACAGAAATAGAAAACAACCCTAAGATCTGTTTTACAGGTGGGGAGAGAGACTGGTTTTTCTCCATAGAGGATCCCCTAAAAGTGAGTGTTCTGCACTCTTATTTGCTAGCAGTAGTTTGTTGTTTCAGAGGTGAAAGCCTGAACAACCAACATGAGCCATCTTGTGCACTTGTTAACAGGCTTCTCTGCTGCTCTTCTTCAATAGCATCATGTTTTTCTAACACAGAAAAACACTCTCAGCACCCTCTCCTGAGAAAGAAGCACGTGTCAGCACAGCATTCATTACCTCAAGCTTTCTTTTGATTAAAATTTAGAGTGGCTTGTTGCATGCTTGCCATAATATAAAGTCTGTGGTTTCAGGGGAAGCTTGCCACTCTGTCTTGAGCTACCCCCACAAGTGTTCTGGCTCACAAACATCCAAGCTATGCTAGCACAAAAATCTATGTTGTTGCAGAGAAAGGCATTTGTCAAATGCTGCCTATTTCAGATATTCCAGATATCGAAAGTCGTACAAAAAGAGAATGGCCTCCTTTGTCCTAACAAAAATCCAGATAGCTGAGGGACATGCACATTATTTCATAGCACCAGGAGTTTCTCCAGGGTTTTTTTTCTCACATTTATTCATGAAACAGCAACAAGTTTAGCTAAGATCAAGTCTTTCTCATGACTAAATGTAGCTGGGAGCTGGAGAGGTAGTGCTGCAGTAATGCTAACCAATGGTTTAGCATCAGCACAATGTGGTGAAATACCCACAAATCACATTCTGAGCAGCTATCATTCAGTAAGTATCTTTACCCAGGGCAGGCTGAATAATTTGTTTAAAACAAAACAAAACAAAGCAATAAATAACCACCAGGTTATACCATTTCAATTTAAATGTACTGAAATCTAACTATTTCAAGTCTATGTTTGGTGAGTTGCCTGGAACCTCTGGGCAGAACAGAAAGCACAAAAGCACATCAGCTTGCTTCTTTTTTCTCAGACTCAGTATAAAAACCATTGAACACAGTTTGTGTAATTAATGACTTCAAGACGCTCTGCTAATCTTCCAGTGACGCTTCTGAGATTACCAGTTCTAACATCCTCAAAAAAAAATCTCATTGTTATCTTACCCTTGCTATTCCTCTTGGTATCTTGGTATTCCTCCGAAGTCTTAACAGCCTAACAGGTTGGTTTCAAGAGCGATAGTACTTGCACACTGCCTCCCAGGAGGGTAACACTTCCAAGTGCTTGCACTCTTACACATAATGTTTCCTTATGGTCGCATTCTGACCAGACAGAAACCAGGGTCGTGGCAACCCCTGCTGCCAGTACGAGCCGGGGGACGTCGGGACAGAGCACGGCCCTGCCGGAAAGGACCTGGGGGTGCCGGGGGATGGCAGCCGGGCGTGAGCCAGCAGTGTGCCCTGCGGCCCAGGCAGCCGGCCGGATCCTGGGCTGCATCCGAAGCAGCGCGGCCAGCGGGGCGAGGGAGGGGATCCTGCCCCTCTGCTCTGCGCTGTGACACCGCACCTGGAGCGCTGCGTCCACAGCTGGAGTGCTCAGCACAGCAGAGACGGGGGCCTGCTGGAGAGCGTCCAGAGGAGGGCCGCACGAATGGTCAGGATGGAGCAGCTCCCTGTGAGGACGGGCTGAGAGCTGGGGCTGTGCAGCCTGGGCAAGAGGAGGCTGAGCGAGACCTGAGGGCGGCCTGTCTGTGTCTAATGGGGGCTGTAAGAAAGACATTGACAGCAGTATCTGTGGTGATAGGGCAAGGAGAAATGGCTTCAAATGAAAAGGGGAGTTTCATGCTGGACATAAGGAAGAAGTTTTCTATTACGTGGGCAGTACGGTGCTGCCCAGTTGGTGCTGGATGCCCCATCCCTTGAGCCACCCAAGGTCAGAGTGGAGGGGCCCTGAGCCGCTGATGGAGCTGTGGGTGTCCCTGTTCACTGCAGGGAAGTTGAGCCAGGTGACTTTGAAGGGTCTCTTCCAACCCAAATGATTCTGTGATTCTGTGAAACATGCAGGGTTTTCTTTGTGTAGTTTTTTTTTTAATTCTGAAAGAGTTTGGGGAGCCTTGGAATTAGGACTAATTGTGAGGCACACTGCAGTTGGTGCACACTGCAGAGACTCACTAGATTGCTTACAATGGACTCCTTACACAGCGAGCAGGAGATGATGCACACACACTGTGCATGCTGCTCCTTGTCAGGCTCCTCCAGACTCCCTTCAGAGCTGCTTTTTATTTGGACTCTCTCTCCCTGAGTGCCTATCAAGCCCCGGGAATAGGGTTGCCTTATGTTACCAGCTCAGGCTGCCCAGGACCCCATCCAACCCGGCCTGGAGCATCGCCAGGGAGGGGGCACCACAGCTCTGGGAAGCAGTGCCTGAACCCATCTCCACACACCCAACAGGTAAGCATTCATCACACACACCTCCGTAGGAGCCCTGCTCCAGCTCCCTCCTTCCTGAGGAGGCTCCAGCGTGCCCACACGGACTCTCCTTATCATCCCCTTCTGCCCGCTGCCCCGCACCGTGCCCCGGTTTGCTGCTGCTGCCCAGACCCCCGAGCTGTCCTGGCGCCATGTTGACGCTCCCGGGGCGGCTACGCGCGACCCTCAGCCGGGCAGGGCAGGCAAGGCAAGGCAAGGCAAGGCAAGGCAAGGCAAGGCAAGGCAAG